GCACATACTTCCATTGAGATGAAACAATCCCCTTTGTTCCACGAGCCAACCTCAATCCCAATGATGTATCTAAGTTGTCCCAGATCCACCTCAAACTCTTTGTCGCCCAAACTTGTCTTCAACTGAGCAATCTCTCTCTCATCATCACCAGTGACAATCATATCATCCACATACACAACAAGAATAGTAATATGATCATGTCGTCGAAAGAATACTGTGTGGTCAACATTGATTTGTCGATATCCCGTGTCTATCATTGCTCCCATGAACCTGTCAAACGATGCTCGAGGAGATTGTTTCAAACCGTAAAGTGACTTCCTCAACCTACATAACTTGCCCACTGTTTGGTTTGTGTCAAATCCTAGGAATATTTCCATGTGCACCTTCTCTAGCAGATCCCCATAAAGAAATGCATTCTTCATATCTAGTTGGTGTAACATACATCCACTATTCACAACCAGAAAGATGAATGTCCTGACTACGCTCATCTTTGTCACAGCTGCAAAAGTCTCATCATAGTCGATGTCATACGTCTGACTATCTCCTTTTGTCACCGTGCTTTGTAGTGATCAATCTTTCCTTATGTGGTTTGCTTCAGTGTGAAGACTCATCTGCACCCGACTACATTTTTCCCTATTGGCCAACATGAGCTCCCACATTTTGTTCTTATTGAGAGCGCCAAATTCCTCCACCATGGCATCCTTCCACTTTGAATCCTTCTTAGCTACCTGTCAACACTTGGGTATAGAGACAACGCCCAAAGATGCAATGAATACTCCATATATAGGTGATATGTTAAAGTATGAGACAAACTGAGCAATTTCATGAGAGAAACCAAAACAATTAGAAGAATAACGATCAAGAGAATAACCCGCATTGTTGTGAGATGTCCTCCTTAAAGTCATGGGAGTGTGAGAAGGGAGAGAGATCGTAACACCTATGTAATCAGAATCTGAGATGGATAGTCTAGGTACCTCAGGAGTTGGGGTAAATCGGGATAAGCGACTTGTTGGCATGAGTGGTACTGTAAGAACTGCTCCCTCATTTTACCTCCTTGTATACACCCTCAGCTCTCCTTAGGCTTGAATACCACCACCTTCAGGCTCATTTTCCTCCAGGATTAGCTCTTCCTCATTCAATCCTTCCCACACAATGGGACAAGGCCTTGTTCTCACATGTACTAATCTCTCACCATCACTATTCTCCCCTCTTGTCTCATACCACCATTATCTCACGAGTCAATAAAGGGTGAGGTTACCTCCAAGGAGAAGTAAGGTTTGAATTCTCTAAATGTCACATTCATACCCACAAATAGTTTATTCTCTATTAAGCTCAAACATAACCCTTTTTACTAGCAGAATAACCCACAAAAACACACGTCACGGCTTTGGAATCCAACTTCCCTATTTATGGTCTATTTTTTTTCACGAAACATACACAACCAAATACCTTCAACAGAAAGATCCTGCCAATATCTCTTTTCAACAACTCACAAGGAGATTGTCACTTCAACACTCTTTAAGGCATTCTATTGATTAAATTGAGCGGCTGCCAAAATTACTTGCCCCTATAGGTGTTTTGAGACATTCATCGTGATCATCATGCTTCGGGCTACCTCTAGAAGGTGTTTATTTTTTTCTTTTTACTACTTCATTTTGTGTCGATGTGTATGGACAAGTGATTTGATTTTGTATCTCATGGGTTGAAATGTACTCCCCAAACGTCTTGTTGGTATACTCTGTCTCATTATTAAAACACAATATCTTCACTACTGCACCGTATCGAGTCTGAATCGCCCTATAAAAATCTTTAAAGCAGGCAAACACATCATTTTTGTTCTCGTCAAATATAATCAAATAACACGAGAAAAATAATTAATGAAAGTCACAAAATATCTATAGTCATTCATCAAATTTGTAGAACAAGGTCCACATATATTTGAATACACCAAATCAAAAACACAAGAACACTCGTTTTTGTTTATTTGTCTTCTCATACAAAGACGGATACAAACAGCTCAAAAGATTAAACAAAGAATGTCATGTGTCTGTCACATAACAATAACATATCCTCTACACTCCTAGATCCTCCTACTCCAACACATTCTACCATGGATGTCAGCGTTGAGTCCATCCTCTCTCTATCCAAGTAACGGAGTCCATTATACCACGTGTCAGTCCTCTTCTCTTGAAAGATCACCTTAGAATTATTAAAGAAAACAACATATTTTAGTTGGAGAAAAATGACATTAATGGATAAGAGTTTCACCGGAAAGAAAAAAACATGCAAAACATTGAACAAAGTCTTAGAATTCGTACATCTTACTGTACCCAAACCAATCATAGTTTGTGTTGTACCATCAGCTATCTAAATATTCTCTAAAACTGTTAGACGAGTATATGAATCGAACTCACTAACATTACCTGTCACATGTCGATATGCACTAGAATTTATTATCCATTCAGGTGATCTTATGGCGGATATAGAGGCAAGAGCATGTGCATGATGAATATCTTTGCCTAAGTGAGCACAAGTAGTAGTGTTCCTATTTGATGATGATAAAGCGGATGCATTACCAGTCACATCACCAACTATTTTCTACTCTCTTCAACATCTCCAAGAACTCATGATCTTCAATGATAAAGATCACACTTGTCTCTTGTTCATTTTCCGCTATCATCAGATTTGTCCGATAGCCCCCTCTTTCACCTATTTAGACCTCACGATTACAGCCACAGCCTCTAGATTGTTCATGTCCACCAGTCTCTCTCCTTAGGTGGCTTTGAACAAGTTTTGCTCAGGTGTCCCATTTTTCCAATGTTGTAGCACATGCAGGTCTCCACTTGAGCACCAATCACACCTTCACTCGAGGCGGTCAAAGTTGATCGCATGTTGAAAGTCCTTTCGACACAAATCTAAGTAAAAGATCTTTAGTTGGCATATTTGAATATACGTGTTAAAATATTATCCCTAAGTTATGTCTTATATCTATTAAAACCTTATATATGGCTGAAAGACATTATGTTGAGTAAAGCATATTTATATTTTAATAAAATAACATATAGCTAGGTCAACAATCTTATATCTAACCAAAAAAATGTAGAAAGATCATCACATACCTTAAGTTGTAATAATTAATGCTAGTTTATGTAGCGTATTACCAATATTAATTTATCCAAAGACAGTAAGTTTTTACCCTAATTAACAATCATTTGATTAGAATCAAAATTTCTTCACTCAATTTCAAATTATACAGAAATTTGTTAACATAAATTTTCAATAGAATGAAAATGCTTCCAAATTTACATCACCCTGTATATAGTTCCATGTCTCTAATCCATGTTTTCTCTGTGGTGGTACATGCATAGTTATTGCAAACATCAACTCACAGAAAAACACAAATAGATGACGAAAGAAATGAATAAAAATATTACCAACTTCTAATGTTCATTCATACCATTCAGACATATTCATCCACCCAATCATCAGAATGAAGTTCATCTTATCAATCTTCAAATTGTACATGCTTAAGACCAAAAAAAACAATAAGGGGCTGTTCGGCATCCTATTTGAGGTAAGACATAAGCAAAATGTTGCTTGAATCTCACCAAACAAAAGAATGAGACTTTAAATCCTATTATTTTGATAAATCCATTGCCAGCTCTATAATTGGTTAAATCTAGGACTTCTTAAATCCCACAACTCACAAGATTTGATGAATAAAAAGAATTCGGCTTCATGCAAATTTCAAATTTAGAAACAAATAGACTAATAATTCATAAATATTTAGCAAGATTTGACAATTTTCAAGTTTTCATCATCTCGAGATTTACTGAATGTGTATTTATAAGATCTACCATATTCCACTTGAGTTAAATCCTACATACAGGTGGTTGCTAGCTATCTTTGCAGGTAAAGATTTTGAAAGTTGTTGCCAGTTCTGGGATTGAATCCCTCGCCTATCAAACATCTGTTCAGCACTCAATTTTCAAAATAAGAATAATAAGAATAATAATAATAACGAAGATTTACAAACATACCACTCAAGTCTTATTTACTTTACATCTTCTTAAATCCCACAACTCACAAGATTTGATGAATAAAAAGAATTCGGCTTCATGCAAATTTCAAATTTAGAAACAAATAGACTAATAATTCATAAATATTTAGCAAGATTTGACAATTTTCAAGTTTTCATCATCTCGAGATTTACTGAATGTGTATTTATAAGATCTACCATATTCCACTTGAGTTAAATCCTACATACAGGTGGTTGCTAGCTAGCTTTGCAGGTAAAGATTATGAAAGTTGTTGCCAGTTCTGGGATTGAATACCCCGCCTATCCAACATCTGTTCAGCACTCACTTTTCAAAATAAGAATAATAATAATAATGAAGATTTACAAACCACTAAAGCCTTATTTACTTTACAAATCTAACACCTAAACTTTATAAATGGATAAACCCTAGTCAGGGGATTTCCTTAAAATGAGCAAAGACATTGTCAATTATATGCCCAAAAACATAAGGAAGATCCCATTGACCTTTCATAAAACCTACCCAGCAACTCGAATCGTAAAATATTAAAGAATGATCGATAGATGAACAGTTTCTTTAACTTGTATCACTCAAAATTACCGCATAAGAAGCAGAAATGCTGCCATCTTACTGTATATAATTCCCTATACTTCTCACAGAGGGAAGAAAACTGTCATGATTCTCTTAAAGATAGCCAAAAACAAAACCTATAATTCACGCAAGCCACAAACTTAAAACAGAATACTCGAAGAGAAGTAAAAATTTTTGTGAACGTTTCCATACATTTCTCTTAAAAATATGCAAATGTCGCTCAGTGAATCGCTGAAAGAAGGCCCAACAAAAGAGATTCAAACAAAATCTTATGAACAACATCGCTCGCAAGAACAAATATAGCATGGAAGGAACAATTGCGCAACAAATGAAGGTAAAAGAGTAAGAAAAATGTAAGGAGAGTTTCCTTGCCTGTCTTCTGTTCTTCGGTGAAGGAGTCAAGGAGAGACGAAAGCGTATACTCTCTCCTCTGAGCAGCCCATGCTGCACCGGCAACAGGTAACTTCACCGCTGTAGGCAGTAGCATGCTGATTGATTTCAAAGGATGATTCTTATTGAAAATAATATAAATAGTATAAAAACAAAGTACTATAAGTTTTGCAAATATAAAGTTACTTGTATCCTTATTTGTTTGAGCATGGAATGATAAATTACATTATCATATTTAAACATAGTCCCACTCAACCCTTAGTGATAAATAATTTATTAAATATTTTATATTTATATGATATATTATTTAAATAAAATTTGATTTATTTTTTTTATGTGATACAACTAATAAGATGCTCAGTTCAAATCTCTTATATTGATTATTTATTTGTTTTCATAAGATCATTCACTCATATTTTTTATATAAAAAATTAAATATTCATTAAATCTTTAACTTATGATTTTTATACCAAAAGCATGTAAAAATCAATATATAATTTTATATGAATAACTAAGTACTCATTTGATTTTTTTTTTTGTTTTTCAATTAATATAAACAAGTAAAATAAAAACCAAGTATGAATATTAAAATTATTAAGCAAGCCAACTATAATCATATTTTTTAAGCTTCTTTCAAGCTCAAACTGCACATGAACTTATGATTCAACCAAGCTAATTCCAAGCCATTACATATTCGACTCCACTTGGCTTGATTATAGCCTTACTCTAGTGACATGTGCACCCCTTCATCATTTTTTTATGTTTTATGATGATACCTTTTATTAAATTTATTAATTTAATAAAGTAAGATTCAAACCTCAAAATTATTTTGAATGATTCAATTGCCAAAATTTTAATACATTAGCTAGGTTAGACTTAAGGCATTAAGAGATTCAAAGTGTTATCTTATGCCCGTCGATCAAAGACATCACCAATAAAGGCCACTATTGAACCAACACCATCAAAATTTGGCTAATCACTTGTGGTAAATTTAACCCATGAAGGTCAATCAGACTGCCCATGGATGGCAACATGCGACCACATCATCCAAGTTAAGGTATTAATTTGATATATTTTTATAAAAAAGTTGAAAAGTGCCCCTCTCAAAAAATTTATAAATAAATAAACTTCTTCATTATCTTGATAGATTTTGTTAGAGAAAAATACAGATTCATAGAGACATAGAAAACTTTGATTAACGCATGGAGAATCAATTAATTACTTATAATCTATGGCCCATCAAATTATTTATTATAGCTTCCCATCACATAATCTCTCTTCCTATTCAAAGAATGTAATGGAAATCATTATCTTCCAATGATTAACATTTGGCATGCACGAACCACTAATATTTGACCTTTATCATCGAGGTCATTGGGGCTATCTTATTATTAGAAGAATGGTTGATTCAACTGCCCTCTATCACCTAACATTTGAAGTCCCCCATCATTTTTCATACGAAACATATTATTTTTTCTATGATCACCCATCTTTCATGTGATACATTTCATCCTTCATGTTACGCATATCATTGATTAACTCCTAACTTCCACGAGACAATGAGCCAACATTAAGGATCTGTTTGGCACAGCTTCCTGCCTGTTGCGCAACACCGCCCACAATTATTTCACGTTTGGGGCGGCGTCTCGTCCAGTTGTGGCCGCGAATCAGATGGAAATTTGAACATGGAAGATGACATGTGGCCCAGCTTCGCGGCGGATGCCTTAAATTGGTTTTACACTCGTACCCTCAACTCTACCCTAAAAGCGAGTGCATCTTCCCCTTTTAGAATCTCTTCAACTCTCGAGCATCGTTCTTCCCGAGCGAAGATTTCTCATCTCCTTCTCTTCGGCAACCCTGATCTTCCTCTTCCTGAGATCTGCTCCCCTGTGTTCCTCCAAGCAGCGGCAAATTTTTTTTTCTATATGAATGCTTTGGATATGATTAATCTTCACATTTAGATTCTCATTTAAGGGTAATGCTTCAGATCTTCCTACTATCACTATCATTATTGGAGTTTGAAAAGTAGTTTACTTTTTGCAAACTCATAAGAATTGGGTGCTATGTATTTTTGCTTTTTTGTTCTACAGAGTGCCAATTTTATAAAGCTTATGAATTATGGTTTGTGCTACTATAAGTGCAAAGTAAATTTTTCAGTATTGAAAGACACGATTTTCTTCTTAAAATTATTGAAATAGTAATGTTTTATTGGAAGACACGATCATTTTGCAAAAAATGTGCTAAGAAAATGATGTCAATGTTCAAAATAAATTTACTGTCAAAGCAAACATAACATATTTGTCATATTTTTATATCATAATGTTGCTTTAAATTTTATTTTAATGATTGCTTCAAGTTTATTTATCCTGAAACAATCAATAAAACTATAGAAATGCAAGGAGAATGACACAGACCAAGCTTTGGTAAATTTTAACTTCATATTGGTATGTGTCATCCTATCTAGGACACATGCCTAACTTGTTTTCATATTGGTATGTGTCTTATTTGTATAGTTGTAAAGTTCTTTTGTGAAGAATTTGGGTTGTACTTTCTGTTGGAATAGAAGTGATAATTTATCTGCTTTCTAGTTTCCCTTTTATGAAAACCTCATCTACTATCACTTTTGGTTTGACCTTTTTTTGTCATGTTAGTTGATTTGGTTTTTGACGCATCGTATTTGATGTCTATACTGATTTTTTATATTGGTGAGCTTCATGTTTAGTTTTGTGCTTAACTCACTGTTTTATCGAAGTATCTTACTATAAATCAAGAATGTTTATGTAACAATAAAATTTGTTTTCTGTAGTAATTAAATGTCATATATGATCAAAGAAACAACTACACTGACAATATGGGAGAAAGAGACAAAAATAATTTTTTTATGACCTTTGCATCAAAGAAATAGAATAGGGAAATAGGCAAACAACTTTTTTTTAATAAAGAAGGGTGATAAAATATTATAAAATGTTCAAGGAACTTACAGGCAGAGAGTAGGACATGATGCAATTGAAAAACAAGTGGGATCAACTTAAGAATGATTATAAAATATGGAAGGAATTAAAACGAGGCTCAACAGGATTGAGGTGAGATCCGATGAAGCAAACAACAGATGCACCCGATGAGTGGTGGGTCGAAAGACTTATGGTGAGTATTGTTTAAAACTTTGGTTAATTAGTTACTTTTAACTGTTTACTATTTTTTTCTTCCTAAATTATGTTTGGGTGGTGTTCGCTGCAAAGAAATATAAGATTTCTGGAATTGAGTCTGAATTGGAGGACAAGCTTGACCTCATGTTTAGGGGGGTGGTTGCAACGAGAAACTATGCATGTTGTCCAAGCGAGACAGGGTTTGCTGCCAATCTCGTGGATCTGGGAACCCCTAGAGGTTCAGGTGATCCTGATAAACTCCCGAGTCTGGAGCAGAGCAAATATGATTCCACTCCCCATGCCAAGCGTCCAAGGGTAGATAATAGAAAAAAATCTGGTTCTTGTTTTATTAAAAACTAAGTCTCCAAGTTGGTGTCCGTTTACAAAGCAGAATCACAATTTTCTCATTAAACTTCAACCACTATCGAGGAGGCACTTGAAATCATTTATTCTTCAAGTGAAATATATGAGGATGAAACGTTGTATCTCTTTGCAACAGAGTTGATAGAGAACCCCGTCCATAGAGATATTTTGTGAAGATATCTGCTACCCGCAGAGTGTCGTATCTCCGACGTTTTTATGACCGCCTTAATATTTGAGTTTTATTTTTTATGTCATCGCAAAAATATTTCTAATGAATTATGTTTGTTTTAATTATGAATTATGTTTGTTTTAATTTTCTAGGGTTGTACTTGTAAACTCTTTAATTTTATCTTTTCTCTTATTATGCATATTTCATCAGAACAACATTTTTAATTTTATGTAGATGTTTCATTTTTTTTTTATTTCTGAAACTTTTATATTTTATTAGCTCATCAGAGTGTTGGGTTTATAGTGCAACATACGGTACAACATGGAAGCAAGTAGAAGAGGACATTTATCAATCAACATGGATGCACACAAAAGAAAGTGCAGAGAGATTTTGTTTACTGTCATATGCTTGATCTACGAGTACTACAACTTGTTCATTGACCAGTCGCCATGCATGACATATTTATACATTGGCGACAAATGGGTTGAGGAATTACTTGTGGGACACCACCTAATAAGATTTTTTAATATGTTCTGAATGCGAAGGGAAGTATTCATCGATATACTAGAAGATCTGATAGGCACTCACGAACTTCAAGGATCTACTAGGACCACTCCACCTGAGGTGCTCACAATAACATTGTACATACTACCCAGAATGAGTTAATAAGAGGGGCGATGGAGCGATTTCAATACTCCTTCAAAACAATCAGCAGATACTTCTCAATCGAACTGAGTACATTTGTTAGCATTTCCTCGCATGTCATCAAATCCTTGGATCCTAAGTTCGAACGGACAGCCGCTGAGATATCACACGATGTGAGATATATGCCCTTCTTCAAGGTAATGCCTCGAGAGCAATATGGTTTTCTTTGTTGAAGATGCAATGTTATGTACTACCTAACTTTTTTGTAACTAAGACTGCATCGGCGCAATTGATGGAACACATGTTGATGCACGAGTCCCAAACAGTGATAAGGTTGCATTCATCGGACGTTGTGGTAGCCTGACTCATAATGTCATGGTCGTTTGTGACTTTAACATGTGTTTCATTTTTATTATCATGCAAATATTACTTGGTTGATGTTGGGCGTCCATTGCAACGAGGGTACTTAAAGTCATTTGCTGACACAAGGTATCATATACTAGACTTTGAACGTGCAAGAAATGTTACATAAGGAATAAAAGAAATTTTTAATAAACTTCATTCATCATTACGTGGTGTCATGAGAGAACAGTTGGTGTGTGGAAAAAAAATGGGTAATACTGTGTAATATGTCTCCTTATAAGTTTCCCAAGCAAGTGCATATCGTGTTTGCTACGATGACTCTACACAATTACATTTGAATACATCATTCTTGTTGCGACATTGACTTTTGTTCGGCGGATGAGGATCAAGAACACGTACCTGCGGAAGCTTTT